TTTTTTTTTTTTTTTTTTTTTTTGAGTGCTTGTGCTGAAGGTGTGACCGCAGGGCGTCATCACTTCACTTGATTGGTGCTTTGCGGCTGCGTCCGCATGGCAACCGCGAGCTGTGTACAAGACGGAGGAGCAGAGAGACCTTTCTAGAGACGCTGGCTGGGATTTTATCATCCAGACACCAATTTCCCTGCGCTCATATTCGTACATACCCTGCTTTCTGTTACATTTGGACACCGCAGACGGACTGGAGCTGCTTTAATGCGGCGTGTCGTTGGCGCAGACTGACAGGTGAGGACTTGGCACGGATTCACGGCGGCGTGTTAGCCTGGAACACCGGTGGGTAGCCATGCGCGGTGTCCTGCACATTAAGAGGGAAAATGAAAGACATTGTGAGAATGTGTTGTTGTGCATGCTGTTCTGCTGGACTGGCCGTGTGTGTGCGCAATGTGCTGTCAAGAGAGGTGTCTGCGCGCGGATAAAAGTGCTGAGGCGGTCAGGTTTGGGCCGCAGACCCGCTGTCACATCCAGCACCAGAGCTGGATGTTGTTGCTGTGTGCTGGGAGGAACAGGGCGGTGTCACCGGCTGCTCTGCCTCCAGACACCCGGAGGCATCACTGCTCTTAGTGCACTTATACAGAGCGGGTGGATCATGCATAATGAAGACCCCTTTATGTCTTTGTATAGCTGCAGACGTGATGTGGCTGTGATTAACTATTTACAGCCCGACCCTAAACAACTGCATCCTGAGATATTTCCTACCATGATCACTGGAGAAATCCACATTATAGTGCATTAAGGTGATTTTTAAAAATGTTTAATGTAGAATAAACACTCCAAACCCTCATAAGAATAGTATGGATGCTACACCACCATGTGAGACCACACACTCCAGATATGCCATGCCACTGGAGCTGATCACAAAACAGAGAGGAGCACACTGAACTCACTTTAAAGTAGATATTTAGAGGCAGCCTTAATTCTTGGTGGCATAGATTCAACAAGGTGCTGGCAGAGATTTTGGTCCATGTTGACAGGATAGCATGATACAGTTGCTGCAGATTTGTCGTCTGCACATCCCAAAGGTGCTCTATTGGATTGAGATCTGGTGACTGTGGAGGTCATTGGAGTACAGTGAACTCATTGCCATGATCAAGAAACCAGTTTGAGATGATTTGAGCTCTGTGACATGGTGCGTTATCCTGCTGGAAGTAGCCACCAGAAGATGGGTACACTGTGGTCATAAAGGGATGGACACTGTCAGCAACAATACTCAGGTAGGCTGTGGTGTTTAAACCATGCTCAGTTGGTACTAAGGGGCCCAAAGTGTGCCAAGAAAATATCCCCCACACCATTACACCACCACCACCAGCCTGAACCGTTGATACAAGGCAGGATGGATCCATGCTTTCATGTTTACACCAAATGCTGACCCTACCATCTGAATGTTGCAGCAGAAATCCAGACTCATCTGCAGCCTCAGTTTCCTGTTGTTAGCTGACAGGAGTGGTACCTTGTGTTGTCTTCTGCTGCTGTAGCCCATCTGCTTCAAGGTTCAACGTGTTGTTGGTTCAGAGATGGTCTTCTGCAGATCTTGGTTTTAACGAATGGTTATCTGACTTCCTGCTGTCTTTCTATCATCTTGAACCAGTCTGCCCATTCTCCTCTGACCTCTGGCATCAACAAGGCATTTTCACCCAAAGAACTGCTGCTCACTGGATATTTTCTCTTTATCAGCCCATCCTCTGTAAACCCTAGAGATGGTTGTGTGTGAAAATCCCAGTAGTAAGTCCCATACACATAAGCCTTTTTCTTTTTTGATGCAACCATGTCCGTCTCGTCTTCCCTCTCTCTGTATCCCAGCCGACCTGCAAGCTGCCACCACAGATCTGTAACCATGACGGCAGAGGAGACAATCAGCATCAAGGAGGCGGAGGTGATCAAGGTGATGCTGGACTTCCTGAACTCCAGGAAGCTGCACATCAGCATGCTGGCCTTAGAGAAGGAGAGCGGCGTCATTAATGGACTCTACTCTGACGACATGCTCTTCCTCAGGTATGATACGGCAGGTAGGAGACGGCCATAGTGTCCTGAAAGGGAGAGGATTTAAGTTTTACAGACTTGTGTAGCAGAGCCTTTTGTAAAAATTCGGACGCAAATTACCACCTTGTTTTTTCTTATGTTCCATTATTGACTGCACCGCTGTGATGGGAACAATGATTTTAGAGGCTTTTTTAAATTGTTGATTTGCTGCTTTCAACAGGCAGCTCATTCTGGATGGCCAGTGGGAGGAGGTGTTGCAGTTCATTCAACCTCTAGAAGGAATGGACAAGTTTGACAAGAAAAGGTGACCGACATAATATGAGGTGTTATTGTACCGTCTAAAAACATCAACCAGAGAAGTTTTATTAATCGTTGAGGCATTATGAGAACATAAGGCCTGACTGAACGTCATCTTTTTGTCACATGTCTACAGCTAGACACTGTCTCAATTCGAATATTGTCTAGTCTAATATTAAGCACAGTATTGAGGTTTCCTTTCACTGGTGACTGGGTCGGACTCGCCAGTAAAGCAGGAGACTGGAACGAAATTAGGTCAAGTCCCAGTGCTGTGGTGGCATGATCGAATCATATCACTGTCGGCCCCTGTTTCCCACCAAATACTCAACACATATACAGAACGTTCAAAACTCAGTTGTCCCACCTAATTAAATTAGTCTAGGTTGTTACAATAACTCACTTGAGAGTTAATTAATTCTTAAAATCTTTACAGTATATGTCCTAATACTGAGATTTGTCCTCCCAGGTTCCGCTACATCATCCTGAAGCAGAAGTTCCTGGAGGCTCTGTGTGTAAATAACGCCATGTCTGCTGCTGAAGACCCTCAGAATGTACGTAAATATACAATGAGGAAAATGGTATATGAGTACTGGCAATGTGAAACCAGTCTGAGTTGAAGCCTGGAGGCCGTTAGAGTGGGCTCACCACTAGAAGGTCACTCGCTGGGAAACCAAATACACTCAAAATTCCCTCGAGTATAGCAACCTAATGGAGCTGCTCAGCAGTTGGTAGAGGAAGCTTGTGATTAATGCCTAGCATACACTACTACTAGACTTTGGAAAGACTTTCTGTGACACTCTCTCACGTAAAAAGACAATGTGAGTTTTTAGTCACACACTCAAAGACTGGGGAACTCGCAGTGTCACTATTTGCACGACTACAACTAGATTCCTTTTGAGATTATTTCCCATCCTGCTCCTGGTGGATCTATTTCGCCAAACTGCCTTTAAGAAATAAGACATATTAACAATTCCATACATGTCTGCAAAAACACATAGCTCTAGAATCATGAGATGAAAGCCCTCATATGTCAACAGCATTCTTGTCAATTTGGCATCAGTGTAATCCATTAGGGTTGCAACGGTATGAGATTTTTTTGGTACTGTAACTGTCTGAACTGAAAATATTGTGGTTTCACAGTATCATAGTATTACAGAATTATCATTGCTATGACCTTTAAATGAATTAAAACAGAAGGGTTATTTTTGGTTAAACCAAATGTTTTATTACTATATTTGACACTTGAAACCAATATTTAACATTTTACTTAGAGAGTCATGAACACCCTTCCAGAACAATTTCAGTTTGGGGCAGTCCCAGAATATGTGATAATGGTTTGCCAATCGTGAACCACACTGCCTCCATCATGGCATATTGGCATCTCTATATTTCTCTTGGATCGGTGTCTTAAAGTACCTGATTATGTTTTTCCAGCAGTGTTCTCTCCAGTCTATAGAGTTAGTTGAGGACCATTGAAATTGCCAAATATCCCCCCAGGCCTCTTCTGACAGTCTAATCCTCGCCTCTTGTTCCCACTTCTCTTTAATATAATTAGTGTTGTCGTTCTTAGCCTCAGATAGAGCAGTGTATAATCTTGAAATAGATTTTTTAGGGGTAGACATGTGGCTGCGTAAAATTTGGATTCAACTGTTGAAAAAACCTTGAGAATTATGATTTCTAACTAACATAAGAGCTGCTTGGTGGTTATATACATGCCGAACCAGGACTTGTTCATGTCCTGGAGTCCCCTTCATGTTTACTGTCTTTCTGGTTTGCTGCTTCCTGTTTGGTGCTGGAGAGAGCACAGATATTGGTTGTTGACAGTGTTCATGTCATTGAACTTAAACATCTTTGATTTTGTTGGAATGTCAAGACGAGAAAAAGACTGACTTTGAAAGCTTGGACTGAGTACATTGACCACCTTACACCAAACGATGGAGATCACAGTAGGGTGCACTAACTGATATGAAACTCACGGTTTTATCACAGCATAACTTGGGATGGTGATGTGTGTGTGAATATGACGCTTCTTCTAAAACTTACACACATACCAGTGTGGTCCTACAAAAACAGGAAGAGTATCTAAAAAAAAACACATACTCACTTCTCCTCTTTACATTTTCTGTTCACTCCAGCTGGAGCTCACCATGCAGGCAGCAGTCAAGTGCCTCCACAGTCTGGAGGAGTTCTGTCCATCCAAGGACGACTACAGCAAGCTGTGTCTCCTCCTCACCCTGCCGCGCCTCACCCACCACGCCGAGTTCAAAGACTGGAACCCGAGCACGGCGCGTGTCCATTGCTTTGAGGAGGCCTGCGCCATGGTGGCTGAGTTCATCCCTGCGGACAGGAAGCTGAGCGAGGCAGGCTTCAGGGCGAGTGGAAACCGCCTCTTCCAGCTGCTCATCAAAGGGATCCTTTATGAATGCTGTGTCGAGTTCTGTCAGGTAATACGATACCCTAAAAATGAAAAGGTTTGGTATTCAAAATTATCAGGACTTAGGGAAGAATTCTACAAAGTCAGTTATGGGTGATGGTCAAACTCCCCTCTGTTTCTCTTTTCCAGAGTAAAGCAACTGGCGAGGATATCACAGAGGGCGAGGTGTTGCTCGGTGTGGATTTGCTCTGCGGGAACGGCTGTGACGAACTGGACTTGTCGCTGCTCTCCTGGCTGCAGAACGTCTCTCCGGGTGCCTTCTCTTGCGCCTTCGAGCAAAAAACCCTCAACATCCACGTGGACCGCCTGGTGAAGCCCAGCAAGGCCGGTCACGCCGACCTCCTCACTCCTTTAATCAACCGCCTGTCCCCGTGCTGCCCCACCTCGCCCTTCCGCCAGAGGCCTCATTCAGCGGACACCTACATGTCCAGGTCCCTCAATCCGGCTTTGGATGGCCTGTCCCACGGTCTGGCGGCCCAGGACAAGAGAGGCATGGAGGCGAACATGAAGTCTGCCCTCAGTCGGAGCCTGGTGGAGAATAATGTGCACCAGCAGGACGATTCACCTGAAAAGTAAGAGTCTGAAGCACACATGGGACGAATGAGTTTTGGTGTTCCTTGGAGTACCAGATGTCTGCAGCACTGTACAGCACACGTCAAAGCATAGTTATTATAGTCATGAATATAATATTATCTTTCCCGGAGCTTTCCTACAAAGCTCTCTCCCTTAGCATGTGTGTGTATTAAACCTAGTGGTAGGTCTTGTTGTATGACACAATCTGTAGCTCCATTAATCCCACTATCCCTGCTTTAACAGAGACAAACTGCCTCGTCTGTCATCTCCTCCAGTGCTGCACAAAGCTTATCAGACTGCAGCAGAGTGTTGATGGATGCAATTTAATCTTGAGCCTTCACCCTAATGACTCATAATTGAAAATCACAGTGCTGAAGCTGTCGCTAAATTAAGGCTGTAAATATGGTGGAAGATGATTTTCCTCATGGAAACTCAGAGCTGAGCAGGTTTTTACTGCTCAAATGTGGTTTAAGTGGGGTCTCTGTGGCTCGTTTGGTCATTACTGCAGCCTTCTGGGTACATGTCTGGCTCAGGATCTTAGTCATGCTGTTGCTTTCACTTTCTTGCCTGTCAGTTTTTGTCACAGTGGACTGGCCACAGAGAGCAAAAATTGCATTGTAAGAAAAAGATACATCAATCACCTAGCACAAACTGTGGCCATTGTAACTGGTATTTGTGTGGTGAAAACGCTTAGAAAGTAAGGCATCAGATCATGACAGGTGAGCTGACGACAGGTTTGCATCACAAGGTAACAGCAAATAAGGTGTTACACCATTGAGTGATAGGTGGAGACAGGCTTTAATGGAATCAAATGAAAGCTACTAGAAACGGATCAGTTCGCCAGACTGTCTGATGTTGCCATGTTCTCTGGCTCCACCTGCTGGACACAATTAATTACTACAACTCTAAGAGTTTCTCATCCCTGCAGGAATTTATCTAGAAATATGGTATGCAACTTTATACAAGATGACAATGAAACAGATATGAAAAACAACAAAATTAATCTTTCAGTTAAAGCAAAGGTAAATATGGTTTTCATGTCTCACTCACTGTGGGGCCGCACTGAATGACATTTTTAAAATCCAAAGCTTCCACTGAGGTTTTTTTAATGAAGCTTTGAATGTCTGTCATCATGTTTTATGATGTCATCACCCTAAAAAGCAGTACAGAAATCATCAAACAACATCCTTAATTTGAATAAAGTTATTATGATTAAATTCTCTTCAGTGCATACATGTAATTTATGGTGGCGTTAGATTGCTGCTCAACCATCCCGTTAACACAGGTGTGTGCCTTAGTATTTCAGCAGCAAGTGGGAAAGAAAACAGATTTTTGACCACAGTGAAAATGTTTTTTGAAAGATAATAACCAACAAATATGGATTGAGGCAGAAGCTTTGTTAAAAAAAAACAAAAAAAAAACATGATTACATCTATCTTTTTTCGATAAAGTTTGACTAAAGTTTGATTCTATAGTTATTGTAAATGTTTGGATCACACGAGTTGGGATCAGTCCTACGCAGCCACCACTGGAATCTAATTCTAGAAATGGAGTAATACTAATAATGTTAGTGTAGCTTAGTCTTTATCTGCAACAGCGCAGAAATACGGAGTTTAAACAGAAAGAGTAGACATGCAAATAAAAGCTTGTAGCATTCAAATGTTGATTTAGAATTCAAATGTCAACATTATGAGTGAAGCTTCGAAACTTTGAACTATTTGATACAGCTCTACTTTATCGGAATGTGGCATTTAACCTTGTTACTGTTGTAGCTATACTGAGTAGCCCGCATTATTGCTATTTCTTTCCTTTTGCTATATACAGTATAGTCCTTAAGTTTAATATCCTCCTGAGACCTGAACTTTTGTTTGGTTTGCATTTTTAATTTCTCCCCTAGCTATCTGGGATCAGTAGGATCTGATAAGTATAAAAAAACTAAACATTCTCAACGATAAGTCCCAATGTCATCAAACCAGTTGATGATAAATTTCCAATTTCCTTAAATAAGTACTTCCTAATTAAGTGTCTTAGCTCATTACTGTTGCTAAAGTTGTGAAAATGTGTTGCCATATCAAACTACAAATTTTATTAATCATAAGTAAACAAGTTTTGATCGTAATGTGATCAGGCTTTGAACCGTGTCCACTTTTATGTCAAGATCAGCTGCAGACTGACTTGGCAGAGATGGCAAGTTTTTCCATGGGTAAGTGTACTGTGCTCTTACTACCACTAGATGGCACATAAAAGTGTCCACAAACAAAGACAACAGGTCTAAGCTAAGCAAAATAAAGTATTAAGGTGCAGGAAACCAAAAATGTGAAGTCCTCATATGAGGACACATGGTCTCAGGAGGTTATGCATGGTCTGTTTAGTTTTCAGCTTGTATTTTTTTGTTTTACTTCCTGCTTCACCTCAAATCAGTTCAAATTTTTACAAAGTGGTTGGAATTAACGTGCATTTTCCTGGCAATAGGAAGCACCCTCAAGGGCTGGATGGACCCAACACCACACGCACGCCTCTGACCCCTGGAAAAGATGGTGGCCCTCCCTCCAACACAGAAACAAATGAGGTAATTAGAACTGCAGACTGTGTGTGGACTTGTATGTGGTATAGACCTTAGATCAATGATAAGCACAAAGACATTTCCGGAATAGAGGAGTGGCGCGTCTCACCTTTGGCTGCTCCAGCTAAATTGGTTTTATGACTTGTGTGAGGACTGTAAAAAGAAATAGCCCTGGTCGTCTGTCTGGTCACTTGAGTCAGAATTAGATTTTCAGTCTGTCTACCCTCTGCCGTCATTACTCCAGATTTAAGAGATTTAGAATAGATTCCCCGTGAACCCTCCTGAACCACCGTGTCTCCACACCTCTACTGCCTCATAAATCCTTCCCCAATTCTCTCCCACACCTGTCCAAGGGGTACTAGCACCCTCCAGCCCCCTGTCCCAGTGAAGAGGGTGGAGGTCATGGACGCTGGAGGCAGATAATCTGGTTTGATGTGCGGTCACACCCAAGATAGCCTGCTGCTTCCATCATCGCTCATCTTTATGCATCCCAGGTCCCATCCAGAGGAGCAAAGTAGAAATTGGATTGTTTTGTGTGTGTGTGTGTGTGTGTGTGTGTGTGTGTCTGTCTGTGTATGAAAAGTGGTGAGAGGGGTGAAGGGGAATATACTATAGACCTGCTGGATATGATGAGGTCCTTGAAAACTTTTTATGGGATAGATGATGGAGGATGAGGCCTTGGGAGCTGAAGAGTTGTCAGTAGTGGCTCTTGGGAGAGAGTTTGTCTATTATAATCTGGTGTGTGTGCTCTTGCATGTGTGTTTGTGTGTGTGTGGAGTTATTAAGGCAGAGACTACTGAAAGGCAATGATAAATATTGGGTCACTGTTCAGGTAAAACAAATCCTGTCAAAAAATGTGTCAGAGTTTCTACATGTTCTGCAAAAACAAGTTTACAATCTGTTTCTATTTTGATAGTTGTGTGCATGTGTTTGTCCAGCGTGCTGATTCCTCAGAGCACATCCAGGAGTACTACAGGCAGCGTCTCCGCGTGCAGCAGCATCTGGAGCAGAAGCAGCAGCAGAGACAGCTTTACCAGCAGATGCTGCTGGAGGGAGGGGTGAAGCCAATGGACGGAGCCCAAAACAACCTCACAGAGACCTTCCTCAGCAGGTGAGGAAGCCACATGAAAAGATTCAGTGACTTAATGAATGAAATTCAAACTCAGTGCCGCCTCATTGAGACAAAGACATCTTGTTTTTGTCTAGGTCCATTCAGAAGTTGGAGGAGATGAACGTGGGCATTGACCACAGAGGAAACGAGGTGATGACACAGTGGAACGGACTGCCGGGGAACACCAGCACTTCCAGTCCCAGAAGCGCCAACACCCGACACACCCCAGACACCGGGCCGCCGAGGGATAAGCCAGGTGGAGGGGTCAGCAGCACACCATTAAGGACCGGGAGCCAGGGCTTGCCTTTCCTCAACGAGTCTCCAGTTCCTGTCAGTCAGAGGTAAGAGCCTCCTTTACTTTTCCAAAATGCTAATCTTTGTATTATGAAATAATATCAGTGTACAGAATAAATTAAACTGATAGAGAATTAATTAAGCTGGATATATGTGTGCATTTTTATTATCAGTGCTGAGAGGATCAGAGCATCTTGCCCCACAGTCCAAGATGATTCTGGCTGCTCTACGACACGTAATTCACATGAGGTACAGCAAACCGTCCAGTGGTTATTTTTATAACCACCTAAATCTTTGACTTTCACGTAGATCGTAGTTCCAAAGATTATTTTTCTGATCCTGTACAGCCGGGGAAGTCCAAATCACAGTTTGTTAAAGTGAACCAGCTGGAGGACACGCAGGCAGTGCGTGCAGTGGCCTTCCATCCCTCTGGAGCGCTGTACGCTGTCGGCTCCAATTCGAAAACCCTGAGGGTCTGTGCCTACCCAGAAACACTGACACCCAGGTAGGAGCCCTTTACAGGTAGCAACAAATCCAAACTATGAGATATTCTTACAAGATTTTAGATTATTCATGTATTCGTGTGGAATTCTGCTGTAACGTGCTAATAAATGAAGGCACACATGATGAGGACTGTACCAGCATTTAATGAGCAGAAGCAAACATACAAGTTTTTGACAAAAAGACAAAGAAACCTTAAGGGGAAAAAAATCAGCTTCTTCACACAAAAAAAATCCAAAATTGTGAAATCCAGTTTGCATTTTTTCCCACAGATGTATGACATTTTAGAATTCACACCTTCCCACATATTCATCTGTCTGTCTTGTATATTCCTGTCCCATTCAGTGGTTCTGGTGCAGTGAAGCAGCCGGCAGTGCGCTTCAGGAGGAACAAACACCACAAGGGCTCAATCTACTGTGTCGCCTGGAGCCACTGCGGACAACTGTTGGCTACTGGCTCCAATGATAAATTCGTCAAAGTCCTGCCTTTCAATGCAGACAGCTGCAATGCCACAGGTACTACTCTATGTGTTAAAATGTCTATATGATGAGTAATGTCCATTTTCCCAGCCAATTGGCTCGAACAGTACAGGCCTGTTTGTGCCTACTGTGACCTATCTCAAAAGGTCAAGTAGCCTCTGTTGCGGTCAGAGTCATTTGGTAAAACTTAACTGCCCTTTAAAAAATGCACAACAAGTACAGTTTGAAGAATAATTAAGAAAAAGTGATTCATTTTTTCTGGATATTGAGGAATGTTACTGTTTCCATCCCCAATGTACACCTCTGTTTCAGGCCCCGACCTGGAGTTCAGCATGCACGATGGCACCATCAGGGACCTGGCTTTCATGGAGGGCCCTGAGAGTGGAGGATCCATTTTGATCAGTGCCGGAGCCGGAGACTGTAACATCTACACAACAGACTGTCAGAGAGGGCAGGGTCTTCACGCCCTGAGTGGACACACTGGTATGTCAGCCACAGTTCTTGTGAAAGAAACAGTCTAAATTGATCCTTAATGAGAAAAAAATGATATTGAAGACATAAAAATGGTATTTAAGATGTCACTGTTTGTTTCAACAGGTCACATTCTGACTCTGTACACGTGGGGAGGGTGGATGATTGCCTCAGGCTCTCAGGACAAGACAGTGCGGTTCTGGGACTTGCGGGTGCCAAGCTGTGTGAGGGTGGTGGGCACAACTCTGCATGGCACAGGTGAGTTGCATCATGACTCTCATTAGGGTGGATCATTTATGTGGCAGCAAATGACTTCCAGGTTGGTGTGGCATCACACTTAACCCACAAGAATGCACTAATGCTTCATGAAGATTTCTGGACACAGCGGAACTGCCAGTAACTGAACAGATTTTAAATTAGACACTTCACATTGATCGATTTATTGTTTCATAAAATAAAAAAGTACATACTTATTACCACTCTGTCTCACACAGGAAGTGCAGTTGCCTCTGTGGCAGTGGATCCCAGCGGCCGCCTGCTGGCCACAGGTCAGGAGGATAGCACCTGCATGTTGTATGACATCAAAGGAGGCCGCATAGTCCAGACATACCGCCCCCACGGCAGCGACATCCGCTCAGTGCGCTTCTCACCTGGAGCCCATCATCTCCTCACCGGCTCTTACGACAACAAAATCATCATCAGCGATCTTCAAGGTAGAAACGCCTGCGCCGGGAGAGAAAGGAATAAAATACATTGTGTGTAGTATGTGTAACAAAAATACGTCTTTCTTTTCTCTGACCCCAGGTGACCTAACAAAGCCCCTCCCTCAGACAGTGGCAGGGGAGCACTGGGACAAGGTGATCCAGTGTAGGTGGCACCCCCACGACCAAACCTTCCTCTCCTCCTCCGCAGATCGAACTGTCGTCCTCTGGGCACCGGGCCCCTGAGCTGCTCACTGGAGGAACACTGGGTAACTACGGCAGCAGCAGCAGGAAGCACAAGAACACGAGCATAGGAACCCTGACTGCTTTAGTGTGTCTGTGGGTGTGTGGGTGTGTGTGTTTGTGCGCATACATACTGTGAGCGTCACGCTGTTTATAAGCCGCTCCGTTAGAGTTAACTGTGTGTGTGCTGTGTGTGCATATGTGTGTGTGTGTCTAACTTGTGACAGATGTTTTTGAGGTGGAAAATCTAGTCACTTTGAAAATACTCATTGTATATGTCTCTGTGAGTGTGTGTCAGTGTGTGTGTGTGCAAGCAAACGCAACATTCTGACAATGTGTGTGTAATTAAAAGTAAAGCAAAATAAAGGGAAACTAATCAGAACATTTTGCTGCTTTAAAAAGAGGAAACATGGAAATTAGCATTAATATTTCTATTCAGAATTCATGTGAGGCTCTGCCTGTTTAAGGTGTGTCTGTGTGTTCACTTAACACCTTTTAGCTTTTGTAAATAAAGCAGAAAGTTTAACCTTTTCGGATTTACTTAAAGATTTACTTGGCAAATACGTAGTTCGGATATAGAGATGACTAATGCCTGTATTGAAGGGTTGAGTAAGTTCACTGCAAGCACACCTTCAAGTTAGTTTTTTTCTCACGATGCCAAACTACATTTAAATCAGCTGTAGTCAGAACTTGTCAGAAACATGAAGGTCACTTTCAAAGGTAAATAGAGTTTGGTGCAACATAAAGAAGTTGCTATCTCTATAGTTTCTATAGGAAGCAGTGAGACACATTTGGTTATGCATATCATAATGTGCCTTTTTGTAACATTTGTAGAGATTTTTTGGACGTGTGGATTGATTGAGAGATTTATTTATTTCGTTATTTGCAGCATTATTTTGATATTTTCTCATATGCCCTGGCATCTGTACATTTTTGTACTGTCACTGTAATGCGAAAAATGATCATCCTCTGGCATTTTTGCGCACTTGTATTCCCAAAGTGTTTTTCCCTACATCTGTTACTATTAAAAAAGAGAGAGTAACTGGCTTGTACCACAGAAGCCCTGAGAGGCAAAGAGGGGAAATAATCAATTCATTTTCCATGGTGGGAATGTGGAAGGCTGGGTACACCCTGGACAGGTCGCCAGACTATCACAGGGCTGACACATAGAGACAGACAACCATTCACACTCACATTCACACCTACGGACAATTTAGAGTCACCAATTAACCTGCATGTCTTTGGACTGTGGGAGGAAGCTGGAGTACCCAGAGAAAACCCACGCTGACACAGGGAGAACATGCAAACTCTGCACAGGAGGGCTCCCTCATCCTGGGTTCGACCCAGGAACCCTCTTGCTGTGAGGCAGCAATGCTAACCACTGTATACCATGCCAATTTCTAAGTTTGTTTATGACTTAAAAAGGTGGGGGAAAAGGTTTGCCAGGATAAAAAAAAAGTTCCTTTTTTTTCCGTCTGTGAAACTGGTAAAAAAAAAAAAAAAGTGTAGTTGTGTTCAAGTTGTATTCTGTTCATTATTGTAGTACTCATTTTGGCCACAAGAGGCTGGAGTGCACCACAACCCCGTGTACTAAACAGGACTAAAAGCATTCACATTTTCTGTCAGGTGGGTGCACTTTAAACACAAGGTGTTTATATTGTGTGTTAGCAAGTTACGTATCATTACTGTTATGTCTGTTACCCGGAAGAAAACATTAATGCTTCTAGTTCTATTAAGAACATGGGGTAGTGGTGCCCTGCTGCCTCCTGTGTATGTTTTTTCCACCTGTTTTCACAGATTAAGAAGCTTCCAAAAAATCCATTCAGCATTCTCTGTAACCGCTTATCCTGTCAGGGGTCGCAGGGATCTGGAGTCTGTTCCAGCTAACATTGGGCGAGAGGCGGGGTACACCCTGGACAGGTCGCCAGACTATCACAGGGCTGACACATAGAGACAGACAACCATTCACACTCACATTCACACCTACGGACAATTTAAAGTCACCAATTAACCTGCATGTCTTTGGACTGTGGGAGGAAGCCGGAGTACCCTAAGAAAAATTACAAAAAAATGATCCTGGCAAATTCTTTTTTTTAGAAATTAGGTGTTCAGCTGTTGCCACCAAAACATAGAACTTTAAATGCAAAGACAAAATGGTAGCAGGATAAAGACGAGGCACTTTAAAGACAGGAATGCTGCAGGACTGCACAATGTGAAATGACAAATCTAGTCACATCTTCAACTTAAAGACGACTCTAATTTTATCTTCGCTTTCACTAAGTAGCTATGCAGACACCTGATGGATGTGACAGAGACGAGGGTATTAATGCATCATATTTTACATTACATAGTGGCTTACAGTGGCTGTGTGGTTTTAGACAATGTTTGTGCACACAGCATGTAATGATGGAACTGCCACGGGGTCAGCGGGGTTCAAACTGTTAAAGTAATCAAATAGTGGCTGTGTAATGTTCTTTTGAATAAAAGTGAATAAAGGGTATTTTTATGTTACTCTTTGGAGCTGTAAGTTAAGTGATGAAATAAAGACTGAAAGTTTCATCACACTGCTTGTTACTGTGTGTGTGTTGCTTTGCCAAATAGAGCGTACAAATTAAAATGAAAAATTGAAATGTGCCTTTGATGTCCCTGCTCTGTGTAATTACCTGTGTTGCTGCTAATGCATGTAAGGGCTGCTAATGTCCTGCAGAGTCCCATCACTGGCATGGCTAAACTGTAGGGGTTGGAACATGCTTATAGCAGAAAAAAAAAAAAACCTGATGCATTTACCTTAGGTGTCCGGTATGGTCAGATACTTTGCAGAAGACATGTAGACAGAAATTGAAAACGGGAGGAACAAGATGAAGTCACACAGGCCACAAAGAGACAAAGTGCAAGAGGTTAAAGAGACAGAGGGGTGATGGGAGGGATGGAGGTAACTGCAGAGAGGAGTGCGAGCGGGGATTTACCATCACTCACATGCTGCGCTCGATCATTCCCTCTTTTGTGGGATGGACAATGAGGGCCAGGGGTGCAGCGCTTAAAAAGGATACAAACACTGTCACAACCAGCAACCCTGGAGAGACACCGGCCAACCCAGAGGTATCAGACTAAAACTTGGACTTACACACAGCCTGTTTTTACTGCACTTCCAGGAAGATGCTGCGTTCTTTGAGGACTTAAAAGGCAAAGCAGTGACTGAGAACCCGTATGTGGAGGACAAGTGGTACTACAAGGGCAGAAGAGATGAAGTTGGGAGACCTCTAGATTGCAGCTAACAAACTAGGCCTGCTGGGACCCTGATCTTTGTTCATGTTGCTTGCTAAAAATTAATATTGTCAGACAGATTTGGGATTCAGATGTATACCATAGATCTTTTTTTGGATGTAATTTTGTAATTTGGACATGCAAGAGCTGCACAGAGGAGAAATCAGTGTTTGAAATCATTGGTTTGCTGGCCGTGTGACAGAGAGCGACACTGCTGACAGTTCAGTTGCTCAGTACTAGAAGATTAGTTTGTGGTGCACAAAGGGGAATTAGCGGTGAACAATGGCTCCGAACTGCCTGATAGGCAAGCTTATTGTCGTATGGCGGTTTGGGTCAAGTGCTTTGCTGGCTGTGGCACTGACGAATGACTCGCTCTCTTCTCTCATGTGCCGGCATGTATGTTTGAAATGATCACCTTAAAAGAGTAAGAATTGGTTTCTTGTAGGACATTTAGTTTTAGAGTGTGATCGGTCTTTTCTGTCTGCTCTACAAATGTACCTAAACCTGGCTCACATAGTAAAAGAGAGGCAACAGTTATTGCAGTTGTTACTTCCAACTAAGGAAGGATGTGAGAGACAGTAACTTGACCTTTGTTATCTTCAATGGACGAAGATAATGATGCATAATGGATCATTTCTGGCATTCAAAGCGTATCACTGAGTACATGGTCTACATGTTGCACCCTTATCCATACTGTCCTCTCTTCCCCGAACAGTTGCTGAATGTTTAGGAGGACAGCTCTACCCCTGGCTTCTCCACCATGCTGTATACTTTAGCAGGAGGGGGCACGCTCTGCGGTGTGGCTGCCCTTGTGCTTCTCATCGTTGCTACAGCGACAGATTTCTGGATGCAGTATCGATACTCGGGTAGCTCGGCTAATCAAGGGCTTTGGAGGTTCTGCATCAACCACAAATGCCATGCCCACACCATAACTGTAGGTGAGTACTTGAGGGATTTGGGCAAAACAAAGGCACTAAAAGTCTCTGATCCTAGAGAGCTTCACTATGAATTAGGCTGTCTAAAAGTGTGCCTAAATTGAGCAGGTTGAAGGAAGACACTATAATAAATATATAAAGAAAACTTTTTAAATGCTGCATTGTGCTACAGAGGAACTTTGCATTGTGAGTGATGTGACATACAGGTGTCAGCATGCAAACTAATATATGAGTATTTGTGTCAAATCCAAGTGTAAGTATCTGTTGATGTGTATGTGGTCTTGACCTTTTTGTGTCCAGCCTTCTGGGACGCCACGCGGGCCTTTATGTTGCTGGCGGTGCTGAGCTGCTTCGCCGGTGTGGTGCTCGGCCTGAGCGCCTTCACTAACGGCACCAAGAACAGGAGGGTCCGTACAGGCGGCATTGCCCTGGTCCTGTCAGGTAACACGCACATTTAGCAAGCTTGTCTGGGACTTTTTGCAATGGGTTTACAGCAAAGGTTAGTCTAAGTGCACACAATATTAAGAGGCTATTTTTGTGTGAGTTTCTTACATGCATCTGGTGTGCTTTTTTAAATGTCCTTTCTCTTTTTATTCACAGGTTTTCTTGCTCTGCTGGCTTTGGCAATTTACACTGGAGTGACTGTTACTTTCTTTGGCAAACGCTTCCTGGACTGGCGCTTTTCCTGGTCATACATCATTGGCTGGGTGGCCATCATTTTGGCTTTTGCAGCAGGTAGTTACTATATTTCATTAGTTGTGTATTTTGATTATTTATTTTGTAAAAAAAAAAAATAAATAAAAAAAACATCCTGAATAAGACTATCTACAGGTTATTTAACCATAAAACTTGAGATTAAACATCTCTTTTTCAAAAATGTCCTGGCCAAGACAGGCAGCAACATAAGCTACAGACAGACAACATAGAACAAAAACAGAGAATAAAAAAATATGAGGCTCTAAAACAAGCAATATAAAACATAAAATGAGATAACTACAAAGAAAAGTCCAAAAGCATGTTAATATATACAGGAAGTGAACCATAAATATGCATTCATTTCATTGGTTATTAAATAAACAACAATTATTTTTGCACCTTTAGATCTCCATACTAGTAAACACACACACTAAGTGGCTGTGGTACATACTGTATTGCGAATCTGGGATCTAACACTTTAATACTGTATGGTAAAACTACTTTATATTAGATGATAACATAGCAGCCCAAAGGCATAAGCGAATTAAACCAGTAGGTTTTCAGAAAAGCAAAACTGCTTTCTTCTTATCATCGGCTAAATCAAGAATTTAGCACCTTTACATGTTGGATTTGAAAGTTTCAGTCTTTGGTGACAATGACTAACAGTGTTCCACAACTTCCACCCATGACATGTCATTTAAAAATGAAACTTTATCAGTTTAATGTGTTACCTAATTGTCTGGTTAACTGTGGTTTCTCTCAGGTGTGTTCCAGCTCTGTGCTTACCAGCGGACCACTGCAGAACCCCCTCCTTCAAATAACCCGGACAGCTGAACAAGATGAAGACGCCGATTAGCTCCAGGACTGTTGCAATGGATGTCACCGCTGCTTCTGAGTGGCTGCCTAGAATGGAATAAATAGAAATCATAGACATCTGTGTGGTTATACTGCAGCTCTGATTCACTGACGACAACTTTTTTTATATACATATGTAGATGTTGACCAAACATTTAGAAAAAATCTGACCATTTTTGTGAGCGAAATTGGCAGGACATCTTATTTGACACCATACATGAGCAGAGCAAACGTTCAAACATCTTATCATACCCTTATCAATTTTTATGTTTAAACATGCTTTATTGTATAGGTGTGTAGAGCACATTTCATAATAATACTACACTTATTTTCACCAGATGAAATCAAAAATAAATTCTTATTTATTTTACTAAATCAAGCAAAGGCCTCCTGTAACACTGCTTAGGTGGTGTGCGCCACTGAT